ACATTACATAACCAGCACCACATATGTATATCCATATTTCAAACTTCGTACAAAAATTATAAAAATTCAACAAACTTTAACCCTTCGTCAGGCGCAATAAGGGCGCAATATGCCTAGCTGGCACACTTTTAAAAACACATACTAAACAAAGAATTATATTGTTTATACATACATCTGGGGAATACTGGCACGACATTTAGGGATGTTGAAAAGAATTAAATGTAAACATTTTCGTAAAAAACCATATATTTGACACAAATTTCACAGCTACTACAAAAATCTTAAAATAAAGTTAAAAAATCAAAAGGTAAAACCAGTGTTGGCAAAATGTTAATCTGATTAACGATTAACAATTAACGATTAAAATGTTAATCGTGATTGAGGATTAAAATTAATTAATCGTAATTAACTGTACGATTAATGATTAAGTTTTTTTAATCGTTAATCGCTGGCTGTGATTACGATTAATTAATTTTAATCATTAATCGTTAATCCAATTAAAAAGAAAATCTGATTAGGTTATCTAGTTGGTCCGAATTTGAAACCAAACTCCAGTTATTGTATTTATTTTGTGTTTTACGCTTATAAAAAGCACATAATATAAAAAAATTATAATTATTATTATCAGTAATAATTAAACTGGGAGCTTTTACAACCCAGCGCACATGTGCAGAGGGATATTAAAACCTAGTTTGTAAAACGTCTGTTGGTATAGATTTTAATGAAAATGCACACCAAACTGCTTAAATTGATGAGGAAACCCGACTTAGCTATAACCGATCAACTGGCTTTGTGTGCACATGAAAATTGCACCATAAATTAATTAATCACCAAACCTACTTAATCAAATCATGGGTCAATGATTAAAAATTAATTTTTTTTAATTGCTGTTACGATTAACTGCTTAATCCGATTAAAATTAATCATGACTAACTGTAATCGGATTTAATTTAATCGAATTAACTAATTAATTAAAAAATCAATCGATTGGTGCCAACACTGGGTAAAATATACAACGTAAAATAGTTTAGAAAAAATTCAAACATTCCATAAAGATTCAACTCTGGGCCATGTACATAATAGCTACTTTTAGATGAGTAATAAAATTTAAAAATATAATGCAAAAAATAATACATTTGACGAATTTGGGCGCAATGAGATTCTCAGATCAAATTCTGAATTCTTCAATTCCCGTTCTGGGAGTCACACAAAAACTGAGCACTTCAAAAGAGGCAGCTACTGAGCGTCAGCAAAGTTAACGGTATAAAAGGGCACGGCGAAGTAAAAAAATGTGCTGGCTGTGTCTCACAGAACAGTTGCGCCCGACGAAGGCTTAACGATTGCACCCAAAGATTTTAAACTTTTTATTCTGAATTTTTAGAAAAATGTTAGTTATGCACTTTTATAGCCATTTACATTTTAATAGGTTAAAAAGCAAATTTCAGAGTAAAGTATGTATGCTCGACAATTTCTTTTAAATGTACAGAAGAACATGTCTGGCACCGCCATCAAAAAAAAAAAATTATTAAAAATCAACGCTGGCGTCTTGAATTTTGCACTTTAATCTACTAAAATTTAATGGGCTATAAAACTGCATACCTAAATTCTAAAAGTTCTGAATAAAAAGTTTAACATTTTTGTGTGCAATTGTTGAAGACATTAAGGGCCATTGCTGTGGTTTGAACTCAGTTTAAACGCTGGAGCTGGCTGGTTTAAAATAATATTAGCCAATCAAATGTCAGCTAGCTGTTCAATATAAACGCAGTTTACGTAATCTAAGTTTAAGCTGGCATTGAAAAACTGGCCCTAAATAAACAAAAAAAATAAATAAAATAATAAAAAGTAGCCAAAACTGGTCAAAATGTCACTTAGCTTAATCAGCTGACCCCAAGGGAATGTATGTATTTATAAATGTGTTTACTTTTTAAACATATTATGAGCTTTACGCTATCACCGTAGACGGAAAATGATTGCCACTAACAAAATTACAATACATATCTGCGGGAAGATGGAAAACTTAATTAATTTACAGTTATGCATAGTACAAAGTCCTCTCAGCATGAGTATAGAGGACGACTTAATTGCGCTTCTTAGTTAGAATACATACAGCAAATAAATTAACATCGTTTAATATTGTCTCGTATTACACTATGCGACCAAATCAAATCAAACTTGTTGGCTCGGTATCGAGTAAAACTAAATGCAAGTGATAGCTTTAGATGTTCATAATACTACGCTAATGGCTTTTTTCGAGTTTGGCTCAAATAAAGAAGATATCCTTAATTGAATCCTAGCACTCAATTTATTGATAATTAGGTTAATTTCTTGGAAAATATTCTTAGCAAATACTCATATAAGGGTTTTCAGATACGAGGACTTCCTTTTTGGCTGTAGGCCAATTTTATTGAATTTACATGAGTTTTTTTTTCAAATAAATACTCAAATTAGAGTGCTTTATTAAAAATACTTTGAACAAAAATTAATTAATTTATTGTATTTTGTTTTTTTCCCTTGCCTACTTCTTAAAACTTTGCTTATTTTTTTTTGCTTTTTATTTTGATTTTCGAAATCATCGTCATCATTGTCATGTGAAGCATTTACGTCATTTTCTTTCCCAATCACCAATTTTTTAAGTAAAACACCAAAGAAAGGGATAAATTGCCGTTATCGAAAACATACAAAATGAAATAGCTCATCAAAATAGTTGTTGCAGCGATTTAAGACTAAAATAGCAAAATTACACACTCAAAAGAGAGTAATCTAATAATTATGACGATGATTTTGATAATCGAAATAAAAAGCAAAGAAGAAGAAAAAATTTCAAAAAATAGACAAAAGAATAAAAGGAAATACAATAAATTTTTATGTTTTAAATATTGATTGTGGTGTTTAAAATAGGTATTTGTAATTCGACTAATGTAAATTTCACATCGCGACTGAATTTTTTAATAGGCCTCTAACTTTAATATTTGAAAAACTCAATGAAATTTAATATGCGCCATCTAGCGCAGAGCTAATAAAAAAAACCAACTTCAAAAATTAATTTCTCGTATCAAAAACCATTATATGAATATTTTCAAAAAATATTTTTCAAAAACTTAACCAAAGTTAACAAAAAATTTTGTGCAACGATACAATTAAAGATATCTTCCTTATTTGAGCTAAACAGTATTAGTACAGTAGTATTATTGACACCTAAAACTATCACTTGCATTTGGTTTACTCAATACCGATTTGAGCTGTCGCACAGTGTTATTGCTTTGAACGAATGCATTTGCTATGGCGCAAGTGTAATGCTGGGGCATTCTAAACATCCACAGCATGTACACATTGTATACATACTTATGTATGTACATACTTACATATAGATATGTATTAGGCTGGTGCAAAGTTTATTTCCTGCGACCCCCCATAATTGAAGAATATCGAAAATAAGACGCCCGTATTTTTTATCGGTTAATATGAGGACTGCAAACCACTCCAGAAAACGGTGCGGTTCGGTTCAGTGGTTCGAACCACTTAGAAAAAGAAACGTGCCAGCGTTGCGACCTTAGGTCCCTTCATTTGCTTGACAAGATCAACATGCACATTATGGATAACATGATACCAAACTCGTTTTATGCATACATTCAAAATGCATGGTACATTTTTTTAACAATTTTGGTAAATTTTATTTTTCGGCTAAGTCAACACTGGTACGTGCACAAGAACCGGTTCATGAGTATTATTGAACCGCGGTTCGGTTCGGTTTGAAGGGTTAAATTTTTTTAATGCTTTTTTTAATATTTTGGAGGGAAAAATGCATAAAATTTGCCATCATTTAGTTTAAGATTATAATGGTAAAAAATATTTGGTGATCTTGATGACAATTTTTATTGAGCTTGAGGCGATTTCAAATGGACATATCCCAGTGACCGCGGTGAAGAAGTCTGACGAGGAGATGTGGTGATAGTAGCTATAACTTCTAGGTAAATTATTGTTATTTTTCCACAACATTTTTTCTATGGAAATAACCTGAAGCTCAATAAAAACTGTTGAATATAAGAGTCATTTTAAATATCGATTGAAGCACAAATCAATGGCTGAGTGGAAGATCGACCTATCTCACGTCGATATGCATGTATATTTAGGTACTCTGTGCAAATATGCTTACAGATTTAGTTAGTCGTAACCTGGGCTAGTAATAATATAGTATTTTTTTTTAACTAAATATACTTAGTTGGCGCCCAACTACGTATTTGATTTGAGTTATGGTTTGTATATTCCCCGAATATGGGCACTTAATGCAATCAATACGTAATTCTTGTAAACGAAGACATACATGACTTATGTATGTATTCTACTAAATAAGACGTCTAATTGGATTTACTTTTTATTATTCATTGCTTTCAAGGTAGGAAAACAGAAACACATATTGACAACACCTACCAAAAGCGAAAATTTGCTTTTCATTTTCTATGGGATTAAGTATTTTTTCATTCAGACTTTTAAGTTAACATTCTTCACTTTTCTTTTCCGAGACCTTTCGCTTCAAGTGTGGACTTTTGACTAGACGTTGATGGTCGATTTTGCATTTTTTTAATGTTTAAATGTAGGGACAAAGTCATGACAGAACAAGAAAATAGAAATAAGTAATCAAGAATTGGACTTTTCCTAATTCAAGAATAATATAAACACCATGGCTGGATTTTTTAAATTGTTTAGAGTATAAGTGGTAGGTTATTTTATTGTATAAATTAATGATGATAAAAAATATGGATTTTATTAAAATTTCATATTAAATACATACATACATAGATATATATACATATATAAGTATATATATATATATATACAAAGTTTGGTAATGTACACACACATATGTTTATACATACTTATATGTAAATTAATATATAAATGCAGATATACATAGTAGATATACCTATTTAAGCGTACACTAATAAATTAACACATATACATATTTCATCATTGAAATCATAATAAAAACTAAAATTACTTACATGATCAGATGAATCGGCAGCAGAGTTTCGTTTGTCTCCTTCTCCTAATTTTTCTCCAGCGTCATCAGCCTCGTTCTCACCTTTCCTACGACGCACCTCAGCCATAGTTAAGTATCAACGTCAATGAAGGAATACACACAATTGATATATTTGCTTACAGCAATTTTCGCTATTATGTATTTTCTCGAAGTGCCAGGGGTTTCAATAAATCACAAACAAGGAATGTTTTAATGTCGATTTTTTTTATTAAGACAAATATGTTCTGTTTTAGGTAATTCAGCGTTGTTTCTGCAACTATTTATTAGTTAGTACAAGTGCATGTACTGCGTATTTTGATCCGTTCATTACTAGAAACAAATTTTCACTGACCAATTTTCTGATTTTATTTCATATTTATTTTTTTTTGTAATTTTACTACGTACATTTATTTATGTATGGATTGCTTCTTTTGCGCCGTCGCCACCTATGGTGGTTGATCTATATTAGCACCGCTACGTTTCCAAATGTGTCCACCTGGTTCCACTTTTACTGATGATATAGTGTTACCTGTTATCTACTTGCTATTCGAGCTAAGTTCACAATTTATTATTATTTTTCAAGATAATGACAATTCACATACAATTTTATATCGATGAAGATTTTCAATTCCTCCAAACACCGCGACAGGTTTTGTTTCCAAACATGATTCAATAATAATCATAATTGGGGTGTTCACAGTTCGTTCCAAATTGTGTCTGAAAATGTAGACGTCTACATTTTGAGACATCTTTAGCATCAAACTGTGAGCACCCCTTTCTAGCAGTCGTCGCAAAATCGTCTCAAAACTTTGCTGGTGTTGCCAGACATTTCTTCCTTGCGTGCCTTTTTTATATGTCGCCTTTCGATTTTGTTTCTGAAAAATTGTAATTATTTAACTTAATTACCAATTCCTAATATTTGTTATTTCTTTTCCTTGATTTGTTTCTTTTCATCAGAAATTGCGCTCAAATTAAATGCAAATACAGAAAACGTGCCCAATAAATAAAAAAAATGTGATTAGTATTGCCATAATGCAACCCTGCTGCGAGGTTGCAAAATGTAGACGCGTAAAAAACATACCTTTGAGTGTGACAAAATGTAGACGGCGTCGTTTTCCAATTTTGTATGGGAAACAACAACACCACAGATTTTACGGTTAGAAAACGTCTTAAAATGTAGACGTCTACATTTTGAGACACTATTTGGAACGAACTGTGAACACCCCAAATAAGAATCATGGTTTCCAAAATAAAGTGCAATGATTTTCTAATCAATACAGTGGCAAATTAGAGATGCCAATGGCGCAAGAATTAATATATCGTTAGTTATAGCAGTCCCGAAACGATAGTTGGAAAGCCATTGTAGGAACTCTGCAGGTTATATAGCTGCGTTTTACTTAAAGCGAGTCAGAAAAGAACACTCGAATCGGGCATAAATGCTGTTTGGCTCCAAATCACAAATAAAAAAATATACTGGGATCGATAGAGTTGATTGAGCTGAGTATAACGGTATACTTATTTTTTTGGGAAACAACAAAAACAAGAATTATCAAAGGTTAAAATTCAAAATATTCTATTTTGGAAATCAAGACTTCTTAAAAACAAATGGATAGATTTTGATCTCATTTAATAGGAAATTTTATTCCCTTTAATTTGGTATAAGTACTTTATATATAAGTTGTATAGTTCTTACAAAAATTGAATTAATGTAAATTAATTCTAAAAAAAAAGCTTCAAACCCTAAGTGCGGCCGACGCAGCCTACGCAGAGAGGTGTTCTCTCCAAAAGGTGTTCAGTGCCTTTTCTTCGCAACACAGAAAGAGAATTGAACTTTGTGAGGGTTATAATCCCTAAGTGCGGCCGATGGTGTTCTCTATAAAAGGCGTTCAGTGCCTTTTCTTCGCAACACAGAAAGAGAATTCTACTTTGTAAGGGTTATAATCCCTAAGTGCGACCGAAGGCCGCCTACGCTGAAAGGCGTTCTCTGTAAACAGAAAAAAGAATTCTACTTTGTGAGGGTTATAATTCCTAAGTGCGGCCGAAGGCAAAAGGTGTTTTTTTATAATTATTTTACATTAATTAAATTTTTGTAAGAACTGTACAACAGTTATATAAATTATGTATACCAAATTAAAGGGCATCAAATTTCTTATTTTCTATTTCCATTGGATCAAAATTTTCAAAATCCATCCATTTGTTTTTAAGAAATCTTGACATGGTCCATAGGATTAAATTTATTGCTGCCCAGCTGTCATTTTGGCCAAAACAGCCCATTGCTTATGCGTAAAAGCGCATTTAGCGCATTTAGCTCTAAATGCTACTCTAAATGTATTTTATTTCTCTATTTATCCATACAAAATTCGTCACCTAAATGCAACTAAATGCAACTCCATTTTTGCATTAAGAATCTAAATGCTAAAAGCAACCCTGTGATCTTCCAAAATTTCCACGATTCGAACATGGTTTAATGAGAAAAACTGGCAACATTTCTTTTTCGAGTATACAGCCGCTAGCTGCGTTTCAGTGATCGCTGATGGAGATTTCATTTATTATTTTAAATTATTTGGATAAAGAAAAGTTACGCAAATTCAACATCGGTATGATGCTGATAGAAATCTGGATTAATTTGTGATCAACTCTGTTTGTTTTGTTTCCTAATTAAGTGTG